GTGGTGGCAGCATCTGCACACGAGTGTACATCAGAAGTGTGCTCACCCGTGCACCTGCCTTGCCTGGGTGTGCACGTGTGGAAGCGGAAGAGGCCGTGGGGCGGCTGGACAGGAAGATCCACATGGCTCTGAGGCAGAGTGTCCGTGGCAGCAAGGAAGAATTCCTCCCTTACCTAGTGGGAGCCATAAATATCTCCCTGTCTGTGTCTGGGAAAATATATATATTAAAAACATGCCATTAATCGGGGTTTATGTGCAGGGCTGGGCTCCTCCTGGCAGTTGGAGCCTCCCCCTCCAGGCCTTCTCTGAGAAGGCAAAGTCCTGTTGGAGACACAGAGGCCGCCGCCCTCGCACAAACGGGCTGAAGCGGGAGAGGAAAGGGAACTGGAGAAAGGAAAATGAAGGAGGAAAAGGAAAGGCAGAGAGACAGAGTGGAGCCAAGGCAGAGTACATGAGGCCAGGATCGGACTCTGAGGGACAGGCAGAGATCTGAATAAGGAAGTTCGGAGGAGTTGGGCTGCAGGAGGCAGGGTTTGGGGACCTTTGTGCCTATTCCAGGGGATGAGGAGGAACCTGGGGACGGGAAGGGCTGAGCTCTGTCCTGCCCTGCCCTGCTCTGGGTGCTCCACACCGCCTCCAGTCAATGCGGGGGAGTGACAGGTGCGGGCGAGCCGGGGAGCACTGGACCAGGAGCCAAATGCCATTTCAGGGTTTGTTCTGCTCAGTCCGGCCCTCGCTGAAACAGAATCCAGATTTAGCGCCTGCCCCTTCAAAGTCCTTCCTTCCAGGAGCCTCCGCAGTGGCTCTGCCTTGGATGCATGGAGGGCATGAGTAGCTAGGTCCCAAGGGAAGGACAGACAGACAGCACTTGTGAGCGACACACCAACCTGATCCCTGGCAGCATGGGGAATGCGCAGTGGGCTCTGCGACCCTCTCCATGGGACTCGGGGCAGGAACCCTGTCACCTGCCTGGGCAGGACATCAGTCTGGACACAGTGACTGGACTCAGTTTTGTTGTTGTTGTTGTTAGGTGCCATGTAGTTGGCTCCAATTCACAGCGACCCTATGTACAACAGAATGAAACACTACACCAGCCTCTCAGTCCTTGCTATACCTGAGCCCATTGTTGTAGCCACTGTGTCGACCCATCTTGGTTTTTAGGCAGCTCCATTTGATGAGGCCAAGTGGAGAGGGCTTTGCACATGGTGAGCTGCTGGTCTTCGTTGATGGAGAGTGGGAGAAGCTTTCCATCATCTTGGACCAAGTGGGTGGTAGCCATGTTCCCCGGCCCCTCCCTTTCTCCCTTCTCCTCTGCCTCCAGGAAATGATGGGAGCCTTTGTCTTTGAAGGGAGGCACAAGGAGGGGTCAAGCTCTGAACAGGGTGTGTGAACTCAGGGTGTCCACTGCTCTGGCAACCAGGCTGGAGAGGAGGTCAAGGCTGGAAAAGCTTTCAGGGGACAGCCTGCTGGGCCCAGAGGGCTGGGAATACGAGAGATGACCTCAGGGGCCATAGGCTGGGCTGCAGAGGATAAAGAGTGGAGTAGGGCATCTGCCCACCTTGTGCCAGCCAGCCAGCCCTGTCTCTGCCCCTCCACTTGCCCACAGGCCACCAGCTGGTTCATTGTCTCTGATGGGACAGCCGACTCTGGGGGCTCCCGTGTGGGCGGGAACTCTGACCCTTGTACCAGACAAGGACTCCCGGAGGCTCGGGTGTGCAGGGAAGGGAGGTGACAGAGGAACAGAGCGCTGGGGGTGGAGGAAGAGGCACAGGGAAGTCGTGGAGAAGGCCCTGCACTTTCAGCCGCGAGGCGCGAGAGCGCCCCAGCTGTTCAGCAGTCAAGTTCCCTCCTGTGCTCTTGGCAGTGGGCAGTGTGCAGGGCCTGTGAACAGGAGATAAAGAGTTCAGGCCGAGTGTTTTCTCTCACTAACTGTGGATTTGTGTGTTTGTTCAGCTGGTGGCTCTGATAAGCCCCTTTCTGCCAGATAAAAGCTGAGCAGCCCTGGGATGGATCCTGGGGAGGGCGAATGAAGGAGCAGCACCTCCTTTCTCCGCAGCGCCACCCTCCTGGATCCCGGGGCGATCTCCTCTCCTGGAAGCCCTGATGTGAAAGGGAGTCGAGGCCCAAGGACTGGCCATCCCCTGCGATACTAGGATGCCCCATGGCAGTACCAGCCGGGGGCACAGCTCCTGATACCCACGGGCTCTCTAGAACAGGCCTGGACTTTGGAGCCGAGCTCCCCACAGAGCTCAGGACCAGAAAGCTGATGCAAGTGGGCTTCCTGGGTGCCTGCCAGCTCTCTACCCGTGTCTGTTCGAGGCACATCCCCAAGACCAAGGCAGGACCAGACTCTGCCACCCATCACATCCTTCACTGTCCAGTGGTGCCTGTCACCACGTCTGGGCAGAGTCCCACTCTTAATTCACTAGTTAAGCCCCTGGGTCTGGGAATGGCCCGTGGGGGCTTCAGCAGGGTTGGAGCGAAGCAGTGGGGTCCCAAACCTTGGGCCCCAGTCCTCCCTGCCCTTCTGCTCTTGGAATGTGGCTTGAACAAGACGGTGGGGCTCTGGCCACAGCTGCCCCTGCCGCCCGGGCTGGCTCCTGAGCCTCGGAGTCTGGGCCCAGATTTCCAGTGTGTCTGCCTTTTGTCCTGGAGCTGAGCTGAGCATGCTGGGGGCTGGCGGGGGCGGCATTGTGGGCCCTGGCTGGGACAGCCAGCCGTAAGATGGCTGCCAAGGTTTAAAATGGCTGCCAGCAGCGAGCGGGCCGGCTTGGAGGCGTGTGGCAGCAACACTGCCCGTGCCCGGGCACTGGCTCCAGCTCTCCCCTTTACATGGCCCCGGTAGCAATAATAGTAGGATAACGTTTTGGGGCAGTTTCTTGGTTTAAAATGATTTTCTGTCTGCCCGCGCCTTCCTGGAGCCCCCATTTGTCTCTGCCTCGTGGCTGGCCCACCTCCATCTCTTTGTCGTCTTCTCTCCCGTCTTTCTGTCCCTGGGCTGAGTGTGCGCGTGCGCACCACACAGGCGTGCGGCTCTGTCTCCCCCTGACCATGGCAGTGGCTAGGATTGTGCCCCTGACGTGAACACCAGGATCTCCTCCTTCTCTCCCACCCATAGACTCAGGCCTGGAAGGCCTGGTGGAGACGGAATCGGTCCTGGGACAGATGTGTTCGGTAGCAGGCATCCTGAGCCTACACATCCTGTCCTCAATCAGCGACCTCTGGAGCAGGGAAGCTGGGCCCCAGGAGACAACAGCCATGAGACCTGGGTTCAGAGAGGCCTGAGAGTGTGTGCCTATTGCCTTGGGCTCTTCAGTTGCTCCCTCCTAGATCAGCTGGGGCTTGAACCAGACCCAGGGAGCCAGGAATGGACTCAAGTGACAGAGTAACATGCCACCACTGCCACCCTGCCACCGCCACCATTAAGGTGCAGAGAGGTTGTACTCTCAGGAAGCACTAAGGCTGTCCTATGGGCTCCCTCCCAAGCAGTAGGTGCCACTAGCAAAGAGATGACCTGGCGTGGTGTCCTTTCTCCCCATCCTTAATACCATCCCTGGGATGAGTACAAAGGGAGATGTGGATGGGCACACCCCAGTCTACAGGGGACGAGGGATACTGTCAACATTTTCCTTATAAACTTCTCCTTTTTTTCTTTTTTTTGATATGCTATGAGACTTCCTACTTTTGGAATTAAACTAAAATTAAATAAGGAAAAAGGATGGAGGAGGGGGTTTGAAACCGTTCTGGGGATAGTCTGCCCTTGCCACTGGTTACACAGAGGCAGACAGCCAGGAACTTGGCCTGAGCTGAGCACAGCCTTTGCTCTGAGACCTTTTTTTTGAGGGGTGCTGCCATTCTGCCCCTTCCCACTCTTCTGGAGTAGGCACGGAATCCCCTGCCCCATCTCCTGGGCTGGCCTCGCTCCTGGCTGGTCACGCTCCCTGGTGGCCTGGCTGTGAGGCCAGTGCAGGGAGGATGCCTGGGCCAGCAGGCGGGTGGTAGGCGAGACCAGGAGAAGCCCCAGCCCTCACCAGGGTGCCAGTGTTGAGATGCCACCCCCATGTTGTCCCCCTGCAAGCAGCTGATTCCTAACAAATGCCTACCCCACAACCTGCCCCGGCCCCCCTCTTCGCCAACCTCTCACCAGCTGTCGTGCCCGGGCAGGCATTCGGGAGGTCCCCGTTGTGCCCCTGGCACACAAAGCTTTGAGGGCATGGGGGGTGGGGGTGGGGGGCTTTCCCAAGCTCAACAAAATATTCACACGCACACTCCACCCTGCCCCCAGTCCTCTGTGTGCTCCCACCATACAATGGGCCCTTGTCTCGGGGCTCCCTGTGAGCAGCTGTGGCACCAGGGCATGAGACAGCCCAGACAGGCTGGCACAGAACGGGTAACGACGTCAGCGGTAAACCTCCCCCTCTGGGTTGCCAGGCACTGCCTGTGAGCACAGAGGTGAAGTGGGGGTGGGGTGGGCCAACAGGGATGGACTTAATTAAGGGAAGGGGCTGGTCCCCTGGGAGCTAGAGCCACTGAGCCTGGGGGGCCCCGGCGGTCTGTCCTAGCTGTGGACGGAGATGGGCACTGGCCTAGAGCTGCCTCTCAGGTACGGCTTCCTGCCCTGACCCTAGGGCCAGTGCTGTTCGTCCCCAGTGACTCTGCCCCCGGGGCACATTGGGCAATGTCTGGAGACACTTGTGGTTGTCAAAACTGGGAGAGCTGCTGGCGTCTAGTGGGGGGAGGCCAGGGCTGCTGCTGTGTGTCCTGTGGACCACAGGACGGTCTCCCACAGCAGAGAATGGCCCAGCCCAGATCTCAGGGGAGCAAGGTGGGCACACCTGTCCCAGATGTAGCCTGTCTCTCCTTTCCCCTCTTCTCGTCCCCCCGGCTTGGCTTGGGGAGGATGAAGGTGGTAGCTAGCCTGGATGGGCAGTGCCACTGGCGTGGCGCGGTTTTGTGTGAAATCTGGTCGTAATCTACTCTCTCCTTTGTGTCTCCTGCAGAATCCGGACAATCAGATAGTTCAAACCAGCAAGGAGATGCGGACATCAAACCACTGCCCAACGGTCAGTGCCTCCTGCCCCTGCCGGCTACATTCCCTCTGCCCTCTGCCCCCCGACAGGCCTGGTTTCCTCCATCCTTCCCCTTTACACCACTGTCTCTTGAGCTTCAGTGGTCCCTAAGGGGAAGGCGCTCACCTGAATACATCCCCTCTTCAGTGTAGACCCCAACGGTTGGGCAGGGGCCAGCCTGGGTGGGAAAATGGAGCTTGAGAGGGAGAAAGAGCTTGGAGAAAACCCACCGGCAGCCCCCTCCCCGCAGCCTTGCCTCCACTCACTCCTTTTTTTCCCTTTTTCAGGGCACTTAAGTTTCCAGGACTGTTTTGTGACTTCTGGGGTCTGGAACGTGACCGAGCTGGTGAGAGTATCACAAAGTAAGTGAGTCTCTTCCTTCTGGCCAGGGCTGAGCTCCGCAGGGATGGCTGTGGTGGGAGTGTAGGACTCAGACCTTCCCCTGCCAATGGGGTCTTCCTGGGGCTGGGGCGGGAGGCAGACCGGGCTTCCTGGGACACTCTCTAAGCAGGCCACCGTGCTAGATGGAGTAGAATGTCAGAGGCTGGCCTCAAGTTTCCACTACATTGGTGGGAAAATAATGACAACCAAAGGGCTCTTCCCAGGGACCCCCAATCAGGAGGAGGTTTCTCTGGCAGTGTGGGCTGAAGCTGCTTGTGGCAATGACACAGACCCCGATGGGCCACCAGTGCCTTCCAGTCTTATCTCGCTCTCACTTCTTTCCCAGCTCCTGTTGCAACAGCATCAGGGCCCAACTTCTCACTGGCCGACCTGGAGAGCCCCAGCTACTATAACATCAACCAGGTGACCCTGGGGCGGCGGTCCATCACCTCCCCTCCTTCCACCAGGTAAGCTCAGCCCCTTGCCCTCCCACCTCCACCCCAGGCTGCCCCAGGTGCAGCCTGCATGCTTCAGAATGTCACCCTCATTGAGGGTGCTGGCTCTGAGACCCCTCCCCACCCCTGTGCTTGGCCACTGGTTGAGATTCCTTCTTGACGCCATGTTGGCTCTCAGCCTGGGCCACAAAACGGAACAAGGCAGGGCTCTGCCCTGAAGATGCTCCTGAAGGGACCCAAAAGGACTTCTCTCTCAGGGAGGTGGCATTTGAGCCAATACATACAAGGAGCTGGTATAGGCATGGGGCGGATGCTCCAGGGAGAGAAGCAGTCTCGGTCTGGTGGGGCCGCCTCACAGAGGGTGTTGGAAGCCAGAAGGTATTTAGACTTCATCCCTGGGCAGTGGGGACCACTGAGAAGTTCTAAGCAGGGGGTGCTATGGATATGTGTTTCAGAAAGCCCCCTCCAGCAGCGGAGATGTGGGCAGGACTGGAGGCTAGTTAGGAGGCCATCTGATTGGCTGACTGAAGAGGTCCAAGGTGGGTGGTGTGGAAAGGAAAGGATGGAGTTGAAAGATGTCGGGAAGTGGAGAGTCACCCCTGGTCAGGGTGAGTCATGCAGGGCAGGGTCAGATCCCGCCTTTATTGAAAACTTTCATATTTTGGTCATTGTGATGTTTTTGGCATTCTTTTGGGTTTTTTAATGTGTGGTATTAAACAAGGAGCTCTGGTGGCACAGTGCCTAAGGCATTTGACTGCTAACCAGAAGGTTGGTGGTTCAAACCCACCAGCCACTCTGCAGAAGGAAGACTGGGCAATCTATTTCCATAAAGATTTACTGCCTTGAAAACCCAGTGCGGGTTGCTATGAGTTGGAATCGACTCAGTGGCAGTGAGTTTGGTTTTTGGTGGGTTTTTTTTTTTTTTTTTTCTTTTTTTGGTATTGGTATTAAATATTCATCTTGATGACTGAGCATTGTGGCGCCTCTACCCACCCCACACACACACTTTGTATCCCAGGTGAGTGCCTGGCTCGTGCCCTTGGGCTGATGGGATACAGTGGGTAAGGGAGAGGGAGCAGCTGAGGGTTTTGCCTGAGTTCTTGGACCAGTGAACAGTGATATCACAGACTGAGGGAAGAGGAGCGGGTTTGCAGCCTCCACCTCCAGGGAGCTGTGGACTAGGCGGCTCTCTGTGCTGAGTGACGTGGCCTGAACACCACAGCCTTGTCCCATCTGACCTGCCTCTCCTTCTCCTTCCAGCACCACCAAGCGCCCCAAGTCCATTGATGACAGCGAGATGGAGAGCCCTGTCGATGACGTGTTCTATCCCGGGACAGGTCGCTCCCCAGCAGCTGGCAGCAGCCAGTCCAGCGGGTGGCCCAATGATGTGGATGCAGGTATGGACACGGAGGTGGCCTCTTCTTATTGGCTTCTCCACTGTCGGGGACACGAGCCAAGCCTCCGCACCCCTGCAGCGGGAGGGTCACGGCCTCCTCTTCAGAGCCTCCTTGCTGTTTTTCTAGAGAGGCCGCCTCAGCCTTGTGGTCTTCATGGTTCCAAGCAATTTTTCAGCCTGGGCACTGCTGACATTTGAGGTTGCATTGTTCTCGATTGTGGGATGGGGGCAGAGGGGGTCCTTCTTGTGCACTGCAGGGAGTTTGTCAGCATCCATGGCCACTAGATGCCAGTAGCACCCTCATGCCAGGTATGACAGCCAAAAACGTCTCCAGCCATTACCCAATGTGCCCCAGACATTCCAAGAGTAAAATTGCCCCTGGGTCAAGGACACTGGTCTAAAGGGCCCAGCTTCTCACAGTAGGCATGAACGGAGGCTTTTTCAGACCAGAGAGAAGCTGGGGAAGGAAGAAGGTGGCAAGGGGAGAGTCTGGAGCAAGCCAGCCCCGTCCTTCCCAGTCCACTTCACCCACCCCATTTCTGCTGAGCCCACTCACCCTTAGTCTTTGTCTGAGTGGGTGGGCCCACTGGGAGAGCCCAGGTGGATAGAGTGGGTCCATACCTGTGTGTGTGTGTGCAAATGTGTATACATGCATGTGGGGCAGGGAGAAGCTGTGCAACGTGTGTGTCCTCGTAATGTGGTGTCTTGGGGGCTTGGAGTACAGCCCCAGAGTGTGTGGGCATGTGCAGGGCAGATCTGCCCTGACAGAACTGATGAGGCCTGTGGACAGGGCCTTGGTTCTCTGACACAGGTGGACTGCGGTCTATGCCGTTGCTATGTCCGATGTCATCCACATAAGCCCTCAGCTGCAAAGGGAGGTAGATGGGCAGCAGGCCAGGGCTGGGAGGGAAGCAAAGCGAAGGGAGGGGCAGCACTCGCTACCCTCCACCTGCCCCCTGAATAGAGGCTCTGGGCTCCTGGGAGGAGGGGAGGGGGTCTCGGCCTGGGACTGAGGGAAGGACCGCTAGACCACCGGAAGAGGTGTGCCTCTGCAGGACCTATGTGCCCCCTGCCAGGGTCTCTTCTCAGCAGGCTGGGACCTGGAGCTAGCCACAGCCTAGCTGCTTCCCTGAGGAGCCGGGAGCCCAGAGAAGGAAGGGGCTGAGAAGGCCCTGAAGACTCTGGGGCTGGGTATCAGGTGCCTAGTTAGGGCCTCAGTCAATGATGCCTCCGGGAATGGCTGCACCAGGAAGGGCCTGCAGGGTCCTTTCTGCAGCTGACTCCTGGCCCTCCAGGTCCCTCTCTTCCCAGACCTAGTTCTTCAGGAGCTCTTTCCTCACTGGCCTGTGTTCTTTCCTTTCTCAGCAGTCTCCTTTCAGCTGTCTGCGCTCCCATCTGCCATTTCTGCTCCTTCCAGCAGTCCTGCCATGCCCCCCCAGTGTCCTCCTGCCACACCCGAGCTCCCTTGCTTTCCCTTTTTTTCCTCTGAGACCCCCTCCCCCCACCGGTGTTGTTTCCCTGTACTGCCGACAAATCGCCAATTAAGCAGCCCAGCTGCAGGACGGGCAACAGCTGGGGAGGCGCTGTGTGGCAGCAGGGACAGCTGTGCACAGCTGGTGGGGAGCTCCCCCCCTCCCCACCATGCCAGCTATCAGGTGGCACACAGCTGCTGCCAGATAACACCTCTGCTGGCAGCAGAGAGTTCTCCCTCCCCTCCTCTTCCCTCTGTGGTTAAAATGGTTCTTACTTCTCTGTTCGGTGCCCCCCACCAGCCCCCACCAAAACAGATTCCATTTGCCCCATAAAGACAGTAGCTCTGGAGATTTGCTCCCACCCCACCTGACCCCTCCCAGCCTCGGCACCTCTGAGCTCAGCCCAGGACGGCTGTGAGCTCCCGAGAGCAAGAGTGGGTCAGCCTGCCCAGGGGGGTGCTGCTGCCCAGAAGTGGCCCTGGGCTCTTCTTTGTCCTGGTGTCATTGGACGCCATGCCTGCTGGGCACACAGATGACCTAGCTTGGTGACATCAGGCTCCTAGAGGCAGAGCTCAGGGGGGGGTGTTCTCTGTACACCCCCCACCCCCATGCATACTTCTACCCCCATCTCTGATAGCAGGAGCACAGCAAAGCCTCCAAACGACCCATCATCCTATAGCAAGCTAGCCTTGAACTTCACCCTTGGCCAAGAAAGTCCTTCCTATGCAGCTTTGTACCCACTGCTCAGGCCAGAGCAGCCCAAGGACTCCCCATGTCCTCCGTCCCCATCCCTGCCCTCTCCTCCATGGAGCAGGTGCTGTGGCTTCCCTGTGATTGGCCTGACACCAGTGGCTATGCTTCCTGCCCCACGCTGCCGCTGGGGGACATTGAGGGCAGAGCAAGGAGCCCTGGCTCCTCCCCACTAGAGCCCAGGGCTCCCTGGAGCAAACCCCAGCCTGTATTCCCTCCCCAGCTTACCTCCTCCCTCCTTCCTCACTGTCCCAGCCTTCTGCAGCCGCTGGGCTTGGTATCTGCTTGTGAGGGGCCAGCATGGGCCCCCTTGCTCAGCCCTTGCCCAGCGCATGACACCCCACTGTAACCCGGGGACCTTGCTCCTCTGCCCAGGCTGGCCTCAGAAGTGAAGAGAGCCTGGTGGGGAGGGCGCTGGGGAGGTATGGGCGAGGAAAGAAGGAACAAACTGCTGGCTTCCACCTTCCCTGCTCCTGCCCGGCCCGGCTAAACCTGCCCTGTGTTGCTGATTCCCCCCCAGGCCCGGCTTCTCTAAAGAAGTCAGGAAAGCTGGACTTCTGCAGTGCCCTCTCCTCCCAGAGCAGCTCCCCGCGCATGGCTTTCACCCACCACCCGCTGCCTGTGCTTGCTGGAGTCAGACCAGGTGAGAAATGGGGGGGGAGCGCCAAGGGGGGCAGTGGGGAGGCAGTAGAGCACGGAGGGGCCGCTGCACCGAGGAACAACCCCAGAGTGAAATTCCAAGCTTTCCGAGTGGGCCACACTGTGCGACGGTGGGTGGGCATGGGTACAGACCCTCTCTCCCCTGTGGCACCTCCACTGTGAACCAGAACATGCTCACCTGCTTCTCCCTCTCGTGTGTTTGTGTGTGCCCGTGTACATGCACGCCGTGTGTGTGCGTGTGTGCACACATGCACACGCCTGTGTGCACGCAGTTGCGCCTGCTTGCCAGCAAGCATGTGGGCTACGCGTGATACAGGATCCTCCCGGGGCCTCCTCCAACCTGCTGCCCAACCGCAGAGACCTCAGGCCACTCCTGCCCAGTGTCCTCTCCACTAGCAGGCTGTGGGAGCCCAGCACCAGGGTCCCCTGCTCTCTGCTCTTTTCTCCCAGCTCCTGGCTGAGCCAGAATCTGATTCCCCAGCGTTAACCCAGGTTGGCGTGTCGAAAAGAGCACTCTGCCCACGAGCCTGGGTGCCTGCAGTGGGCCTGGGCTAGCCAGCTCACTTCTCTGGGCCTCCTTTCCCTTCTCTGGAAATGAGGGACTAGGAAATGGGGTTCTCCTGGGCAGCTGGAGCAGGCACAAAATTTAAGGCAGTACCGAAAAACACAGCCTTCCCCACAGTCTTCCCCACACAGTCGGCCAGCCAGCCACTCTCCTGCTTCAGATCTAGATCTTCCTGAAGAGGTAGAGGCAGACAGGAAGTTGGGAGAGCCGAGTCCTCAACCTCCATCACTCCCTCACTCTCCTCTATAGTCCCTCAGCACCCATCTAGCAGAAAGAGGTCTTAACTCTTTTTTGGACACATCCCTGTGTCAGTCATACTGTCTCCTGGGCTCTCCTGTGGGACACTAGGAACAGCAGGTTTACTCTCCCGGCTTCCTCCTTGCGGCCTCCTGGCTGGGAGCCCAGAGGCCAACAGTGCTGGGCAGGGTGTAGTAGACGCACAGTGGGGGCAGGAGCCCAGGCCGGCAGGCAGCAGGAGGGCTCAGGCCGGCTCTGCTCAGCTTTTATGAACTCCAGAGAGAAGCCAAGTTTCCTCAGCCCCTAATGAAACTGAGAGCAAGAGCAAGCTGATTGGAAACAGACGGGGAATGAGGGGGCTCACAGAACAGAGAAGAGCTGGGGCCTGTGCAGGGGTGGGAATCGTGTGTGTATGCGTGCATGCGTGCATGCACGTGCGCACGCGTGTATGGGCACTAGGGCCGAGCACACGAGAATGGCGGCCTGGGCTGTGGCAGCCAGGTGCTCACCTCTGTGTGGAGAGTGTGTTGCAGGCACCCATCCTCCTGGCCTGGGGCTTTGTCTTCATCCAGAGCTCCACAGAGCTGGCTCTCAGACCTTACCCAGGCTCCCACCAGGGGCCTGGACCCCATGAGGCGAGTTTAGCACTGCTCAGGTTTCAGGAAGCACCGCAAACTCCGTCATGAGAATAAATAGTATCTCGTAGTGCAATACTTTAAAAAAAAAATCAAAACTAATGCAAAAAAAAAGACGAACAAATATCGAGATTTCAAAAAAGACAGGATCTGACCCTGCACTTGCGTGCCCCTACCTCGCCTGTCTTACCGTAACCTTACCCTAACACTGGCCCTGGTTTCAGTCACACTTTGTTTACAAAAACAGGAGGCTAGCCCATGGACCATAGTTTGCTGATAAGATTTTTTTTATATTGCATTAAAATGTTATTTGTCTGGATGGCTGTGTTTTTCGGTACTGCCTTAAATTTTGTGCCTGCTCCTGCAGACCAAACCTTAGGTCACTTAGGGTTCTGGAGTGTTTGAACTCCCTGCTTCTGTTCTCTTTTCCTCCGGCTCCTCCTGCCAATACCGTTCCCCTCCTCTTCCGGCATCCACCAGCTGGCCGCTTGTCCCTGACGTCCTTGTCTTCCCCACGTGCATGCAGGGAGCCCCCGGGCCACAGCGTCAGCGCTGCACTTCCCCTCGACGTCCATCATCCAGCAGTCAAGCCCGTACTTCACACACCCGACCATCCGCTACCACCACCATCACGGACAGGACTCGCTGAAGGAGTTTGTGCAGTTCGTGTGCTCAGACGGCTCGGGCCAGGCCACCGGACAGGTGAGTCCAGAGGGCCCAGGAGCCCCACTACAGTCTCATCTCTGTGTCTGTCTGTCTGTCTTGAGGCTCACAGGGAGAGGACCAGAAAACTGGGAGGCCCCTGGGTCTGGAACAGCAGGGAGAGTGCTAAATGTCTCCGTTTTCTGGGTCTAGGGGTGGGGGTCCATTTATCAGACCAGGGCCTGACTATCATGATCCAGAGAGGCAAGAGAGTGGCTGGGCCTGCCTTGCCCTCCTGCAGTCTCTGTTCCCCTGTGGGAATGACCTTGTGCACCAACCGGCCTGGCTCTGGACTCCTATCTGATAACACCCCTATCAATCTCAAGGATCCAAAGATTCATTAGGTCGTAGGCCAGAGTTTCCCAGCCACGGCGCTATTGATATTTGGGGCCTGATCGTTCTTTGCTGTGGGAGGGCTGTCTTGTACACTGTGGGGTGTTTAACAGCATCCCTGGCCTTAATCCACTAGCTGCCTGTATACCTCTCCCCAGTTGTGATAATCAAGAATACCCATACCCCTAGATGTTGTTGCTGAATGTGCCCTGAGGGGCAAGACTGTACTTAGGTGACGGCTACCTTTCTAGAAGAAAGGTTCCATCCCACAGGGGCCATTACGGATGCTTCTGGTGGCGTGACTCTGTGTCACCAAACCTTAGGTCAGTTAGGGTTCTGGAGTGTTTGAACCCCTTCTGCTCCTGGGAAAGGGCCACTGCCTGGGTGGCGGGCTCACTATGGCCTTCTGTGGCCCCACAACCCTTCTCCATCACTGGGCTCAGGTCCCAGTCACTGACAAGCAGAAACACCGGGCCGCTTAAACCACAGGAATGAATGATCCCAGCAGTTAGCGGGCCAGAGATGACCCTTCTGTGGGACAGTGGTTCCTCGTTCAGTCAGAGCCAAGCCCCCTTGGAGACCACTTGAGTATGGACACAGTCAGTGGTCCTTAGACCTGTGGAAATGTTCCAGACATCCAGCTCCCTTTTGAGAAGCCCGATCTCTTGTCCAGTCCAGCTGTTCCAGCTCAGAAGCCTCTGTGAGAGGCCTGGGGGAGGATGCTCAAAGGGCTTCCGTGATGGGGAAGGGTGCTCCGAAGCCCTCTCTGTGCCCACAGAGGGTGGCCTCCCCGTGCTGCCCCAGGGTATGCTCTGCCGGCAGTGGGCATTTGCTGAGTGCTGGCTAATGGATTTGGGGCCTGGGAGGGAGAACGTGTTCCTGTAACTCCCAGGCCCTGTCTCGCCTGCCCTGCTGTCACGGTTCAGAATGGAAGCCGTTGCCCTTCCGTCCCTCTCCTCGCTGTCCTTTAGCTTTCCTTGTCTCTTGCTGACTCTGCACCTCCTCAGCACGCTTAACCTTCCCCATTTCTCTGAGCAGCTCCATCCACTTTTCGGGGTATGTAGTGAAGAATGGATGTGACCCTTACAGCTGCCACCAGCCCGTATGCCCAGCCCCCAAGGGGCTTGAAGTTTGCAGCTCCGCTTCCCAGTATCAGAGAGGCCAGGGATGCCTCTTTGCCTGGCTTCTCACCTACAAAGGCGCCTGGGGTTTGGAATCAAAATGACCTCAGGACCAGTTTAGCCCAAGGAGCCAAACCTAACTCATAAGACCTGTGGGAGAGTGGGTCAGTCAGTCCCCTGGCCGTCCTGAAGGCTGGGTCCTGGCCCCTCCCTTGACTATTCAGGATCAGGGCTCGCTCTGTCTGCCATGTTCTCTTCTTGAGGCAGGCTCCTGCTCCAAGTGGACTGTGGGCAAAATGCTGCAGGCAAGGCTGTCAACAGCCCCACTAGTTAAGCAGAGAGTGTAACCCAGCTGGGGTGAGCTGTGTTTTGTCTTGTGCCTGTTGTACCAAAGACACGAGGAGTGTGGTTGAGAGGGAGCCTGTTCGATGGGGCCCACCCCAGCTTCCGAGAGACCTCACCATGCTGTGCAGAAAGAGCCAGAGGCTTGGGATTCTGCAGGTGACCCCTGCAGGGAGGACTAGTGTCTGCCTGGGCTTGCTGCATGACCACTTCTGGAGCAGTGGTTCTCAAGACTTGGCACGCACGAGAGTCACCTGGAGGTGGCTGAGCCTCACCTGCAGGGCTCTGATTTAGTACGTCTGGGGTGGGCCTGATAACCTGCATTTCTGACAAGCTCCTAAGTGATGCTGATTCTATTGCTGGTCGGGGGAGCCTTCTTTGAGAACCACTGATCTAGAGTCGACAGGCATAGTCCTAATCTCCTTGAGATGCTGAAGTTGCATATCATGTTTCCAGGAGAAGACAAGCGTATAAAAATTTTACGGACAATTTCACGAGGATTCCCAGATACCCCTGAAGCTCATCCTTGGATCCTAGGGGAAGTCCTCCTATTTTGAAGAACCAAATCATCCAAGCCAGGTGGAGAGAGAACTCGGAGATGCAGAGGGGAGAAAGAATGCCTGACTAGCTGAATATCAGGCAGAAAGAAGAGAGCACCAAGTCAACGTGGTGGAGACGCTGAAGAGCCTGATGGCAGCCTGGACTCAAGCTCAGCTCTGGCCACCAAAGATGGGCAAACCAAGCCTGCTAGGTCCCTTCCCGTTCTTGACTTACAAGGCTTTAGACACCACAAAGTCACAAGTCCGGGAGATTTTTTTTTTTAAGTTTGGTTTGTATCCTAGCCAGAATGGAGACATCCTAGCTTACAGAGGGGCTGGCTGGAAATTATTTTTGAAAACGGAATTTTGTAAGTCAGTGGGTTTCAGCATCCAGCTAGGCCAGGACTAGGGTTATTGGCAGGATGAGCAATGTAGACACTCCTGGCAGAGCCAGGCTCTGCAGACTGGAAGGAAGTGGAGGCCACCCTGTTGTGGCAGGGCCTGTATGGAACGTTCCTGACCACCAGCCTCTCAGAAGCTGAGCTTAGGAAGGCCCTGAGAGGAGAACTAGTGAGGCTTTCATCCATCGGAACCGGCCCACCTCCTGCCTAGATGGAAGAACATGGTATGAACGAGCCAGGCTGTGGGAATAAAGGAGAAGGCCGCTGGTTGTAACTCGACATCCACCTGCAGGGCTGGCAAACCCACTCACTGGGAGCCAGAGAGCCGACTGGAAGTACTACGGGGCTCCAGCCAGGGCACAGATGAGGACCAGTAGCCATGGTCTTTTGTCAGAGACCTCTTACAGTTGTCACCCTAAGTGGGCAGGAGCCCTTTAGAGGAACAATGCATCAGACTAGGCGTTCGTCATTAGGAGTGAAGGATTATGGGGTCAGTCTGTCCCACAGAGCCAGGGGTGGGGGGACAGAGGGCGTAGCCTGTGCAGGTCAGCCACAGGCTACTACTGGGACTTTCACATCTAGCAGGTCAGATGAAGAGGTTCCGTTCAAGTCACGTCATTGCCCTCAACCCCCAGGGAAGCGTGGGCCACACAGAGGTGATGTCCTACCATCTTGTCAGAGGACCAATAACCAGATGGCCAGGGGTAGAGAGAGAGAGCAATTGAGATTAGGGAGTTTGGATGGCTCCCAAGGAGGGGATGGTTTTTCCTGAGCAGACCTTGAAGGGTGTGAGAAAGAATATCCCAGACAGAGGGCTCTGCAGCAAGCAAAAGTGTGAAGCCCAGACGGCTCAGGGTGTGTTCTACCAAGCACCAGCTGATTTGCAGGGATTTGCAGCTGATTGGGAAGGAAAGGCATGGGCGGTGGAGGACCCCATCAGGCTCTAGTGGGGGCCTTGGACTGCCCTCTGGGGAGCTTGGATTGTATGTCAGATATAGTTGTGGGAGATTTCAGAGAGAGTAACCTAAGCTAACTCAGATAGAGGTGGAGGGGGGCTCAGCCTTGAAAGGACACGTAGAAGCTCTGGAGGCAATCGACAAGACTGTGAGATCCCGGCCTCCCAGTGGTAGCCAGTGACTTTGGATAAATGACTTACTTGCTTCCTGTTTGTGCCATGGAGGTAGTAGACCTTCCCTTACAGCAGGCTTTCTCGACATCCACACATTGTGGTAGGGACTGGCCTGTGTGACAACAAAGTTTCTAGGACATGGAAATGTCCCCCGGGGGCAGAGTCCCCCCCCGGTTGAGAACCTTATGGGGTGCTTGGGGAGACTGGTCACAATGTCACTGAAGTGCCTGACACAGAGCCAGGTGCCCAGTTGTTATTGTTATGTGCCATCGAGTCGGCCCCGACTCATAGCGACCCCTCCTTGGGTTGCCTAGGCAGTATCATTACGGAAGTAGATTGCCCAGTCTTCCTTCCGAGAAGTGGCTGGTGGGCTTGAACCGCCAGCCTTCTGGTTAGCAGTCAAGTGCCTTAGGCATTATGCTACCAGAGGCACCCAGTAGAAGTCTCCTTATCACCAAAACAAACCAAACTTGCTGCTGTCAAGTCACATCCAACTCATAGCAACGCCTCCTTGGGTCTCCGAGGTGGTATCTCTATGGAAGTAGATTACTCAGTCTTCCTCCAATCTCCTTATCACAGTCCAAGGTAAATCAGTGAGAAGAGAAAGGGCTGGCTGGGAGACATCCAGGAGGTGGGACGTCTGGGTTTTGCCCACTGATGGAACACAGGAAAACCCCCCGCATCCCAGCTAGGGGGCTAGGAGGCAGAGCGTTCCTCTGTGGGAGAAGAGCCGGGTTAGAGTTTAGGGTGAAATGTATAGACCGGGCCTCCCTGAGCTCGGCAGCAGGTACAATGGAGGGCGCGCCATGTGGAGCAGTGGGAGGTATTGTCCAGAGCTCCTGGGATGTCTCTCAAGGAAACTGCTTGCAAGAAGCAGGGAATCCTCTGCCTGAAGACTAGTACACAAGGCCACAGGACTTGGAGGGGAAAACACGAGTGTGGTGCACAAAAGGGCACAGAGGACAAGGAGTGGACACCGCTGACTGAATGTCCCTGGCTTTCTGAGGATGTCGTCCAGGGGAACACCACTGGAAGAGCTGCACGGGAACAGAGCTGGCAGAGATGGCCGTTTCCTCTCCCGCTGGTCTTTCAAGAATAGATGAGAACACCACATTCGGCAGACAGCAAGGACACAGCCTGCCCTAGCTGAGAGGCAAGCCCCCATGAATGCCTGGTATGCTCCCTGAGGCCACGAGCTGGGGGTAGAACTGGCGGCCCTGTGACCTCACTTGCATCAGCCAGCCCCCGTTGAAGGGCCCACAGGAGGGGAGGTACAGTGTGTGTTTTGGGGTAGGGAGCCAGGGGGCTGGCTGGCTGACCCTTCCTGCCACAGGAGAAGGTCTTCAAGAACTTCTAGGTGCAGCTTCACGTAGGTGGCACGTTTTTGTACCTAAAACATTTTCCCTAAGAAATAATAAACCACTCGTCGGACGCCCCCTTTTCTTCCCTCCCACAACTTCAAAAGAGGATCAAAAAAAAAAAAAAAAAACCAGAGAGAGAGAGAAACACCCGAGACACCAAAGAGAGGCCTTAAACACTCACCCATCCCGTGCCCCGGAGGAGAGGAGCCAATTCTGCACCTTCACAGGGAGCGCCCGCTCTCGGGAGCGAGCCGGCATGGCGAGGGAGCCCTCCCGAGGGGCCGGCCGCTGCTGCCCGGCCCACAGGGGAGCGTGTGTCTGTGTGTGATGTGCCTTCATGCGTCACTCTATTTATGTTGTTCGCAGCCCAACGGTAGCGGCCAGGGCAAAGTCCCGGGGTCATTTTTGCTACCGCCGCCGCCTCCAGTGGCCAGACCTGTGCCCCTTCCTATGCCTGATTCCAAATCCACCAGCACTGCCCCAGACGGCGCCGCCTTGACTCCTCCATCACCTTGTAAGTGGACGATGAAACCAAACCACAACGCCCAGCATCCCCGGCCCATCCAAAACCGTCTCCACAGCAAAAGAAAACGCCCCTCCCTCACTGCCAAGGCCCCTCCCAGAGCACCACCGAACCTCCCGGACAAGAGCAGAGCCGAGCCCCTCAGCCCTGGCCCCACTGGGCCTTAGTTGCACCAGGCGGCCCACCCCCCCGCGAGCCCCAGTGGGGCCCCTTGCCCAGGCCCCTCCGGGGGGCGGGAGGGAGAGCACAGTGGGCCACGGCGACAGGGTGCTGGCGGGGCGGAGGGCCGGGAGGCGAAGCCATGCCATCTCCATGCGTGATTGCTGTCTTTCTGTGTTTTTGTTTTTTATTTTCTGTTGTTCTGTTGTTCCCCTACACCAAGAAGGTTCAGTGTTACCACAAGGCGACGTCACCACCATCCTCTCTTGCCTTCCCCCCTTCCCTTCCATTCCGTGGCCTTGGGCCTTGCAAGGTGCAGCAGGCAGCCCTGGCCACTAGGCTCATGTTGGGTTTTTCGTTGCTGGTCTTCCCCCCCACACCAGCTCCTTCCCCAGGTTGGATGCTCCAAGGACCAGGGAGGGCGGGGCCTCTGTTGACCTCACTTTTCTCTCTCTCTTTTTTAAACTAATAACAAATTTTGACAAAGGGAAGAGACCGATCTTGGCTGAGCAGCCCAAGGTAGACCCGACGTGAAGAACAGGAGAGGCGGCGGGTGGGCGGCGTGCTGACTGCAGGGACGGGTGGGCAGGGCTCCGGCCCTCTGGGGGGCTGCCGGAGGGGCGGCACCGGGGGTGCGGCCATGTCACCTCTTCTTTCGTTACCTGTCTCTCCTCCTCTCTCTCATGGTTTGTGTTCTTTTTCCTCCTTCATCCTTTTCATGCCATCCTCACACCCACATCCGCCATAAGACGCAAGGTCACAGGCATTGCAAGAGGGTGGGGCCACAGGACAGGGAGGCAGGGCAGTGGGCTGGTGGGGGCGCTCCTGGAGAGAGATGGACAGTCTGGTGTCCAGCACATGGTCCCTGGGGTGGGGCTGGGGATGGGCTTGGCCCCCAGGCAGCCTGTGACATTCCTTACTTCCCTTTGAGTGCATCCCCCCTCTTGTGGGGCAGGGCCTGTTCCTTCCTGCAGGGCTCCATCCAGCAAGAAGCCCGGCCAGAGCTCAGGGGTGTTTGTCTGTTTGCCTCCTCGGGCCCCAGGACTGCTGACTCCAGGCTCCCATGCCCTGGGGCCCTACCAGGCCCTTTGGCCACCTCCACTTCCACCTGTCTCAGGCCAGGGATCACAGGACCCCTTGGCCTGGCTTGTCTCTCAACCTGCCATCCCTGGGCCCAAGCCAGCCAGCCAGCCCTGAGGCCCCCTCTCTGACCCCGTCCTGCCCTGCTCATCCTTTGTCTGGGCCCCTTTGGGGTTGCCCCACCTGCCCCGTCGTCAGGCTGCCCAGGTGGGAGATGGAGCAGCACTGAGTGAAGCCAGGAGATGCCCCCTTGGTTTGGAGAGGTGATGGGGACTGCCTTCCCCAAATAGTATGAGGCCAGGCCGCTAGAGCTCCTGTCCTCCCCCAACTCGCTCTCCTCAAACCTGGGGGTGGGTGGCCAGTAAGAAAGCCAGGGCATCCACTGAGGACTCTTTTAACATGAGGGTTGTCCCCACCCCTGACCAATGCCTCATTAAGGGAAATGAAATGGCCCAAGAGACCTCTAAGCTCCAGCCTCCAGGATCTGCTCCTCACCTGGGACCAGGAAAGAGGAGGAATGGTTGTGGCTGCCAGTGCTGGGGGCAGTTCATGTTCCTGGCCAGGGGGATAAGGGGTCCCTCCTGCGTGGGGACGACTGGCTCGGGGTGGGGAGAGCAGGCTTGGAGTGGCCTGCAGCACAGCTGTCCCTCCTGGCCCTGTCCTTCCCCAGCGTAGATGCGGCCAGCACGGTGTAACCCTGTCTCTCCCTCTCCTAGCAGCCCCAAAGGGCAGTGTCCAGGGGCCTCCAAGGCCTGACGGGTCTCTTCCTCTCTTCCCTGCTCCCACAGCATTCGCAGCGACAGGCGCCTCCTCTGCCAACCGGTTTGTCAGCATCGGACCCCGGGACGGCAACTTTCTGAACATCCCACAGCAGTCTCAGGTAGGATGGTGGATGATGGTGGTGGTGGTGGTGGGAGCAGGAGCTGGGGGCACCAGAGTGGGGCCTGAGCGAGGACATCTTGGTGTTAGGGAAGAGGCTGGGGGCCTTCAGCCAATCAGGGAGAGGGGGCTGGGGCGGAGTTGGAGGGCCCAGCTGAGCCTGCCTCCCCAGGCAGCCCCCAGGCTCCCTGGCTAATCAGCTAATTGGGTAATTAGCTCTGACAGCCCGGCCCTGGGGAAGGCTGCCAAGGACCTGGGGCTGCAGCCCTCTGGGTCAGGCCTGGTGGAAGCAAAGATGGAAGCCTGGGACCGAGGCCCCATCCTGGAGAAGGACAGCGCCTGCCTCTTTGCTTTCTTCCTTTTCCTCCAGCTCCAGCAGGAAGTTCTGGCCCCCAGCCCTCCTCTCTTCCTTGGCTTTGGGTGGGCTGGGCAAGGGGTGGGCTCTGTGGGCTGCGTGCCTGGAGACTCTAGCACCAAGGGCAGGGCAGGGCCTGCTGCCGCCTAGGAGGCTCCTCCCCCAAGTCCAGATGAATCCTGTTAGAGGGAAGGCCAGGCTGCTGGGCCCCCAGCTCTGCTCTGTGCCCTGCCCACACCACCCCAGTTCTCACTAGGGAAGGAGATAGGCCAGCCTCAGGCTGGAGGTTTTACACATGCAAGTGTACACAGGCGTGCACACACATGGGCCTCCCCATGATCTGTCCCCACAAGGCTAGGGACAGTCCCACAGAGGCCAGGACTAATGGGGTGCAAGGAGGGCCAGTCTGAGCAGCAGAGCAGATGCACTTTTTTTTTTTTAGAGGATCTGTGGCTTTTACCATGTGGAGGTCTGCCATTTCAGGGGTGAGTGGATAAGGGAAGAAAAGTACCTCTCTTTTGCAAATTTTACAAAAACACAGCCTTGTGCGCCCAGGGCCTTGGAGGGGCCCCAAAGCTTAAGCTTCCTCAGGCCCGGGAAATCCATCTCTGCCCAGAACCCCAGGGTGCCTTTTAGGCTCCTGCTCCTGTTCTGTGTCCGCTCTGAGGCCAGAGAAAGTTGGTGGATGGAAGTTTTGTGTGTGTGGTTTGAGGTTGTTTTTTTTTTTTTTTTTTCCTTTTCCTTTCCCTCCCTCAAAAAGGAAAAAAAAAAAAAAAAAAGCCAAAAACTTTGTCAAACTTCAAACTTCAGAGCTCCCTAGTGGCAAGGAGGGGAGGGAAGAGAACGTCACCTCTTTCCAGCTTCCCACCCCCTTTCCCCAGAGTCACGTCTGACCCGTCTGGTTTCCAGGAGCAACCAGACATGATGTAACACCCAGATGAACTTGAACTTGGGGGTGTTGAGAAGAAAAACAATGGCTCCGCGCAGGGGCTGGAGCCAGCCCCCTCCACTCTGTGCCAGGGAGGCCGAGGGAGCCCTGCTGGCAGAAGGTGGGAGGGGGTGCCAGGGGAAGGGACACCAGTGAAGCCACTCCCCTGGCTCTGGGCTGGCACTGAGACCAAATGGCTCCCTCCCTCCTTCCCTCCCGTGGCCCCGAGCCCACTGCAGCTCTGAGGGCTTGTACTGGGACCACTTTCCTGGCCGCCTGCTCTCCCTGCTTCCTCTGCTGCTGCTGCTGCTGCTGCTGCTTCTTTGGCCGCCGCCGCCGCCTCCTCCTCCATTTGCTTTCCCTTCTTCACTCGCTTTGCTTGGTGATTTTGGAGCCAAGTCAAAGTTTGAGGCAAGTTGGGGGAACAGTTTTTCTCCCCCTTGCTCACGCTTGAGCCCGGGGCGGGGGGGCTTGAACAGGCAGGTGTGTCCATGGGGGGGGCGGGGAGAGGACCAGAGCTGGACAAGCCAGGCTGGGAGTCCTTGGGCCTGGGGCAGACAGTGGCTCCGCAGGCATGGGGGGTACAGTGGGGGGTGGTTACCACAGTAACCAGTGACTTTAGCTGATCTCTGGAGCACCAGATGGAGACAGAACAATAGAATGAGGGAAGAAAAGAGAATTTTCGTAATTTTGTCATTCCCTGGGCAGCGCTTTTTACTTAGTTTTAATCAGTTTTGGACCTGGCTCAGGAAGTGGGGAGGGGTGAGCAGAAAAAAGACCTTCTGGGTTTGGCAGCAGATCCCCGGGTCCTGGGATCCGCAGAGAGGTGTCGGGGAGCCCCCTTGGAGCCGCCTTTGTCCCTAACTCCAGTCCTGGGGCAGTCTTCCTCCTCTGAGAAGGACCCACCTGCTCTGAGCATCACACAGCTCAGGGGACCCCAAAGGGGCCAGCCCTGAGGCCTTGGCTGGGTTTGCCAAGGAGGGAGAGTGGGAGGGGGGCTCACAGCTGGACCCTTCCTGCAGGGCAGGCATGGTGTAAGAGTTCCAGCAGTCTCCCCCTGGGAAAGAAGATCCAGAGGAACCCCCCACCCCAAGGCCAGAATCCCCCCACAAGGGGCTCACCCAGGCAGCTCCCCACCACCCTGGGCCAGGACCAGAAGTCCAGGACCTGGCTGCTGACCTGGCCCTCCCCTGCTCACTCTGGGGACGCAGGAGGTCTGAGCTTTGCCAGGCCCCTGAGCCAGCCTGGCACATCTGACAGGGTTGGGCTTTGCAGGCAGGTGCTCCAGGAGCACTGTGGGGAGGACCCTGGCCTTTGTGAGCATTGTTGTCCGGGTGGGGAGGGAAGTTAAGCATCTCTGCCCGCCCAGTAAAACACCAGCCACATCCCTGTGGCAGCCCCAAACCCCACAACATTCCCAGAAAGCCCCCATCTACAGGTTCCAATGTGCTCACCCCTGGCCACATGTTATTTGAATTTAAACGAATTAACATTAAGTTAGAAGAAAACTCCAGGCCCTCGGTCATACTAGCCACATTTAAAGTGTTCCGAAGCCACGTGTGGCTGGCAGCTGCTGCACTGGACGGCACATATTAGAAAACATTTCCACTGTTGCAGAAAGTTCTAGATGACCTCAGCGGCCTTTCCTAGCTCTAGAGTTTGGTGTCTCCATCTCACAGTGGACAACACCCTGAGGTTCCCAGCCAGAGCCTGAGGGGCAGGTCTGGCCTAAAGGCATATTCTGTTTGCTTAAAACAGTTTTAAAAATTGGAAAATTTCACATCAGATTCTATCTGGACTTCGGGCTGACCCTCATCCCCCAGACCTTCTTTCAGACATGGCCGCCGCAGCCCTAGGCAGGTGTGAGAGTTCTGGCCACCCTGGCAGCAGCCTCCCCATAATCCCCTGGGCTTGGCACAGGTGTCTGGAGAGGCAGCACAGGCAGCTGTTAGGATTTGGGGCCCGGCTGGGCTGCCCACAGGCATGTGACCTTGATAAAGTCACCTATCCTCCTTGTGCCTTGGCCTCCACACAGGGTTGGGGCAAGGATGGGTGAGTCAGTACCTAGTGGGAGCTCTGTAGTTAGCTCTCTCTGGCTCTGCAGCTCCTGGGTGTGGACCCAGTACCAGAGAGGTCCAGAGTCCCATTTTAGGGAATCCCCCCACTTTGCCTCGAGGGTACCACCAAGCTCACCCAGGCAGAGTAGACAGCAAAGGAGGGCCAAGGCCGCGAGGTGGAGCTGCAAGGTGCAGGCAAGGCCTTTGGGAGAGAGCAGTTCAAAGCACCCTGCCCTAGGGGGCTGCCAAGACTGTCTGTGGGAAGGCGGCGCCCCCTGCTGGTGTCCTGAGGGAAGCAGCGCCAGCCCGGGAAGCCTGAGGTCCAGCCCAGTCTGGTGTGCCCCAAGTGTGGAGGATTGTTAATGGTGGGCTTTAGGGCCCTCCCCCAGGCTTGGCACTGCTAGAGACTGAAGCCATGTGGTGCCCCCAGCCTTTCAGCCTGTGAGACCTTGGCTCCGGTGCACAGACGGGAATTTCTGCTTCTAATCCAAAGCTTCAGAAACAGCACTAAGCAGAAGCTGGGCCACCCCACCCACTCACAAGACCCCTCAGGGACCAAAGCCTCAACCTGGCATCCTCCCCACCCTCTAGAACCCACACAAAGACCTAAACAATTGGAAACACGGCCAGATCCCAGGTCTGTGCCAGCGCCAGCCACGGGGTCCCACCCGCTGGGCATGGTGCCCACGGGAAGGCCAGCTGGACTCTGTAGCACTGGTGGCGGGGGGTGGGGTGGGATTCCCTTAGGAGGCCGAAGAGAATGAGGGTGCAGTTCTTCTCTGGGGGGCTTGGCTGCCTAGCATCCTAGAGTCCACCTCAGTTTGGCCTAAGGTCACTTGGCCAGGTGGGACTGCCTGGCTGTTCTGAGCATCTCCTGTTTTTTTGTGCCTTTTCAGTCCTGGTTCCTCTGATAAGATCAACAAAAGAAAAGACAAAATAAGAAGAAGAGGTTCCTCAAAAGGGGGTAGAAGAAATTTTGAGACGTGGAAAAATCCCCCAGCCCAGCCCCACCGAAAAGCAAAAATTAGACGACGTCAGCCACTCAGCCCTTCTCTCCTCCAGCCCGGGGCCCCTGCAGGCCCCCAGAAGCAGCCCAGTTGTCGGAGAGCCCTCGAGGGGTCTCGGGTGGAGCTGTGCACCAGCAGCCAAGCAGAAAGAAACATACAAAAACAGACTGTCAAGTAAAAGACAAAAGAATGGGATACAGAGCTGCCTTCCTCCCCCCCATTCCGGCCTTCTGGGGAAGGAACAGAATCCCCAAACAAAGCAACCTGCACGGTTCTGAAGGGGCCTGCCCCCCACCCCTTCCTAGGGGAACCCCACCCCTCAAGTTGGACCCAAAGGGGATGACAACAAACAGGAGTTTAGAACCAGAGGGCTTGTCCCTCCAGGCACCCACCTCCTCCCCTCCCTGGCTGCCTCTTCCCTCCAACACTCTGGACTGGGAACGGCAGGGCTAGGGCAGCCTCCGCTGCTTCCTGCCCCACCCTTGGGCTAAAAGCCCCAAGGTGGGGAAGGGGCGCACCCCCCTGGAGCTAGGTGCATGAGCCCAGAATGGAGGGCATTGGGCCGCTCCACCGTGAGCCACAGGGGCAGTTCCCAGGCCAGACCCCTCTGTACAGTCCATGGGAAAAAGTTGGAATGCTCTCGAAGGCCGGCCTCATCCCACCCCAACAGGCCTCCCTCTTTCCTCTCTCAGCAGGCCAGGAGGGCCACCCTCCTGCGCGCACCTGAGTGAGGAGAGGTGGCCCCCCAGGTCTCCCGCACACCCCAGCCCCCAATGCAGGTGCCCTCACTCCGCCCCACTAGTTCCCACCGTGGCCCCACATGCAGATGGCCCTGCCTGGGGCCAGCTGGAGACGGGAGAAGCAGCTGAGTGCAGAGGACAAGGCCAAGCCTGCACTAGGTAGGCGCCTTTGGGGGGCGTGGGGCATTGCACTTCTCAAAAGTCTTTTGGAGCTTTCTCTGTCTCCCTTCCTCCGCCACACCACCCCCTGGGCCACTTCCCTCTGGATTTTAGCTGTAATGTCTTTTACTCTTTATTTAGGGGTGGGGCATTGTTTGGGTCTTTTGCGGTTGCAATGGGAACTCCTCCATTTGAGCAACTTGGGAACAATTTGGTAACATACCACAGGAAGTAGCTCCCCCCCACAGCCCCCTTCTCCCCAAGGGATGGTTGCGGGGGGCCTGTCCAGAGGGTCTTCAGAATTCCCTGGGGAAGGAAGGGAGTATAAGTACACAGTGCCCCCCAACCCCCAGGTTGTGACCTGGCCCTCTGGCTCGTCTTTCTGTGCCTTACTCCCGCCTCCCTGTGTCCTCCCCTCCTGGGCCGCTGCTCTTCCTCCTCCTCCTCCTCCAAGTCTTGTGCCTCTCTCCCTCTCTCCCTCTCTCTCTAACTGTATGGAAACACAAAGCACAGGTCAGGATCCTCAGAAAGTCAATCAACATTGTACCACATAGGGCTGAGTTACGGTTTTTATTTATTGTGAATCTAGTTTGTGAGGCTGTGGCCCAAGCACGCTGGTGGGGGGCATCTTGGGTGGAGGCCTGAATTCTGAGACAGAGTGGCAGGTTGGGGTGGCGCCCCTCCCGGCTGGAAGCCACAAGGTGGCTGCCCCTGGGAGGGACTTTTATTGGACATTGAAGGAAGCCCCCCCACCCCAATCTGCTTGCAGCCCTGGGGGATGGCTGGGACAGAGATGAAGGGGCAGGGTGTCCCATGGGAGCTCCCCAGGCATGGGGAGGAGGGTAGGGGTGGGGGGCCGGGGGCACCGGGTGTGACACCTGGTCAAGTGCAATGATTTTTCAGTTTGGTTGGCTAAACAGGGTCAGAGCTGAGAGGGGAGCGGAAGGGACCCCCGCCCAGCCACTCACGCCCCTTCCCTCCAAGACAATCGGGCCGCGGGTGCGGCGGGGCCTGTGGGAGCCGGGGGTCCTGCTTCCTGGCGCCGCGCCCGGGCGAGGTCGGAAGCTGCAGGCCAGCTGGGCCTGGGCCGGGGCGAACCCGGCGAGGAGCTGCGCGCGGGGCGGCCGCTGGGACCGCTCCTTTCCCAAGTGTCGTTGTTAGGGGCAAGCAGGGGCAATGAGGGCGACAGGAAATGTGGGGACGTGTTAGAAGAGAGAGAGGAAAGGAAAAAAAAAAAAACACCCCACAAGAAAATATATATGGGGGAAAAGTAACTTTTTTTTTTTTTTCATTGAACCAAGTGCAATGCATCGGAGAGTTTTCCTATCTTTGTATGTTAAGAGATTGTTAAGGAAAAAAAAAAAATTCTATTTTTGTTGTAATGTCCTCGCGGCTCTGGGGACGCTAAAGAATCGGGCCTGCCCCGCCCTGCGCGGGGATAACGAAAGCTGAGTGCTTTTTTCTTTTCTTTTCTTTCTTTCTTTCTTTTTTTTTTGGTTCGTTTTCAGTTTCATTTTTTTAAGTCGTTTTCCTGCGTTGACGAGGATGGTCTGGGGTTTTTATTTGTTTTGTCGTTCGTTCTCGGTTTCGGTGGGAGGGCTGAAGGAAACGTTCACATTTTAGAACTAAAAAAAAAAAAAAAAAAACCAACACAAGATCAAAAAAGGAAAAGGACGAGAGAAACATTATTTTTTAAATAATTAAAAATAAAAACCCTGGTGCTTTTTACATTATAAAGTACTTTAAAAAAAACCCACAGACTATTATACATAAGTTTATGAATCAATTAAATATCCAGCACTTGTTAGGAACACGTATATCCCTTTGTTGAGTTTAACGGAACGGGACAGCGGTGTGCGCCCGGCTGCTGGGCTGGTCCGGCCGCGGGTCTCCCCGGGCGCCCCTTCCCAGGGGCCCAGCGCCCCAGCGCCCCCTCCTCGCCCCATCCCCGCCCGGGCACGGGGGCGCGGCGGGGATCCCAGCCCCTCCCCCGCAGAGGTCAATGCCAACGAACAAAGTCCTCCCCCCGTCCCACTCCCTGCCCCGAGCGCCCTTCTTTGAGCCAGACGCCAACTTGACCCTCACCAGCATTATCAGGAGCGCGCTCAGCAAGTTGGTAATTTCCTCCCCACCGCACCCCTGGCGCCCCCTTCAATATCATTCCTCCCACCCCTATCCCGACCCCCCATCCCAGTCCTCTCCGGGGAGCGCGGGACAGGCTCGACGCTCCAGGACAGGACTTGCCAAGCTGACGACGGATCGGCCCAGGCCCATGCACGCACGCACGCACGCACGCACACGGCCCGCACCCAGTCTCCCCCAACACCCCGCAACCAGCCCGTCGACTGCCTTACACACCCGCCCCCGCGCTGGCCGGCAGACCTAGTGCCTTGTTCTCTCACCCCCGTGCTGGCGGAGCGGACGCCGCGCTCTGGGTCCCAGAGGGGCCGGGTGGCTCAGACGACCTACCACTTCCCCACCCCGACCGTGCTGAACGAATCCCCCACACGAGAGAAAATAAAGGAGCAATAACGTTAACGAGAACTTTCGTCCCCCAATCGAGAGCCCGAGGGGCACCCCAGCCCCGCCTCTGCTCCCCCTATCCCCTCGACCCTCGGGGCGCCCCCTTTCCCCCCCATCAACCAGCCTGGGCCCGCCCCACTGCGGCCCCCTCCCCCTCCCCGGGAGATCCGTGCGCCCGACCAGCACCAGCATCGCGGACCGCAAAGGCCGCCCGTCCCGTCAAACAAGTTTCTTCTTAGGCTAAGAAACGCAGTATATACGAGTATCTCTATATATAGTACTAAAGGATTTGGTGTGCTTCCCTTTAGCGTCCCCGTCCCTCCGCTCCTCCTCCTTCAGCCTGGTTCCCCTTCTCCGCCCTCCACCCCCCACCCCCGTCTCTGCACTGAGATACATAAGAAACAAGGGTAGTTTACTGTCTGTTTTGTTTTCTGGGTTTCAGTGTCCTAGCGGAATGCAAGTAGGCAGCCAGCCCGTATGTTCCCTCCCGCCCCGCCCCGCCCCGCCCCCGTCACTGCGCTTCTGTTATACCATCTTTGCCTGACTCTCTCCGGCTTCTCCATTGAATGGCTAATGTGTATGTGAAATAAAGAAATAAAGAAAAACAAAAGCAAGAGCGCCTGGGCCTTCGCTAGCAACGTCGTGCGGGCCGGGGTCCGGTCGCTGGGGTCGGTTCCCCGCGTCCATCTGCTCCTCTCTCAGGCGCCAGGCACGCAGCGGCCGCCGTCGAGGAGCGGCTAGGCCTGGGTCGTCTGGAGCAAGCGTCCGCCGGTGACAAGGGCGAAGGCTCCCCGACCCCTCTCGACCTCCCCCGGTGGCCCCAGGCGGGAATAAAGAAGCACCACTTGGGTCCGATGTCCGCTCTGCCATGTTGGTTCCCGGACCTCGCCCCGGGGAGAGGGGCGCGTGTGAGGCCATTTCCAGCGGGCGTGGATGATAAAAGGGTCTGCGGGGCCCTGGGGACGGCGGTGTCCCTTCCAGACCTCCAGGCCTGGCCCGTGCTCCTGTTAGGGACGTCCTCACCAGTCCCTCTTCGGGAGAGTTAGACGCTCCGGCCCGTTCCATTGAAGCAGGCGCAGCGCGTCACAGGCTCGACGGCCCTGGCCTGAGTTCCCCGGTGCCGCGGGATCACCGCACCTCTGGGCCGACGGCCGCCGGCTCCGGCAGCCCCCGCTCTGTCTTGATGGGCCGCGCCGGCCCCACAGGGCAGGCGTCGGGGCCGGCGGGGGGCGCTGGCTGCGGGCGCGCCACCAACTCGGCCCTGCGTCCTGGCCCCCGGCGGGTGTCATCCCCGTCGCGATGCGCCGGCCGTCGGCGGGGCCCGGGCGGGGCGGGGCCTGAGGCTAGAGCGGCCGCCTGGTCCCGCAGCAGCCGCACCAGGAAGCCGATGTACTTCATGGCCAGGCGGAGCACCTCGTTCTTGCTCAGCTTCCGGTCGGGCGGGTGCGTCGGCAGCAGCTTCCTGAGCTCAGCGAAGGCGCCGTTCACGTTCTGCTGCCGCCAGCGCTCGCGGCTGTTGGTGAACACGCGCCGAGCCACCTTCTGGGGCTGGTGACCTGCGGAAAGACAGAAAGGACTGGTGCACGGGCCAGGATGGCGCGCCCTCCTGCCCCTCACTTCGGGCACCTAGCACCTAAACCCAGGCAGCTCCTCGGTCAGTTAGCACTCTTCCCACCCTCCCCTCTCCCATCCTAAGTCTCTGCCCCAGCTGCAGGTGACCATCCTGGCTTCTGTCCCTGTGACTCTCACACTTTAATGTCTGTGGCATGAAACAAGCCCAGTGTTTCTTCTTCGTGGCTGCCAGTCTGGGGAGCTATCCTGTGGCTCTCATTATGAGTGAACCGAGCCCCAGCGTGTGACAGGGTGTTTCCATGGGCCTGAAAGGTAGTCTCATCGTGCTTGTGGACCTGTTGGTGTCTTGTGTGGCTGTGTGATTCCTGGTACATCAGAAGGGCTGTGGATGTATGTGGCAGCTGCCATGTAGCTAAGGTCATGTGACTATCTCCTATGTGGCTGTGGCTCCGTGGCTGTCCTTCATGTGGCTGTGGTTCCGTGGCTGCCCCCCTCCCCGAGTGGCTGTGGTTCTGTGGCTGTCCCATCTGTGGCTGTCTCCCATGTGGCTGTGGCTCTGTGGCAGCCTCCTGTGTAGCTGTGGGTCTGTGGCTGTCTCTTGTGTGGCTGTACACCCAAGGCGGCTGTCATTCTGTGCCCCCGGTGCTGTGACTCTTTGTGGCTGTGCTTTGTGGCTTATTGGGCTGGCTGCAGTTGTGTGCTATGGGACTGGAAGGGTATGGGACACAGACATGGGTCCCATGTAGTGATGGTTGGCTCCTTCTGCACACCCACACGTATGCATGCATACATATACCCATGCTCACCCTCAGCCAGGTCCAGCTCACAGTGACTTGGTCTCCGTTTCAGCCGACTGCTGGGGAAGATGCTGAAAGGTCCTGCTGGCCCAATGTAGAGGCTGTAAGGGGTTGCGGGTCACTAAGTCTTCTGGGCATGGCTCCCTGGCCCCCAGCCCCCCAAGCCCTAGCCCTCCACTGACCTGTTGAGGAAGGGGTGAGAGTGGTAATGCAGGGCCAGGGGGGGTGGGGCAGTTCCCAGGGCAGAGAGTTGCAGCAGAGGGGGCCGAAGGGCAGTCAGCTCCGTGGTGGGCACGCCTGCCCCTGGGAGCCTGGTGTGGCCCAGGCTGATCACTGGCACCCCCGGGGGTAGCCTGTGGGGTGAGGAACCTAGGGGGTGGCCCACCTCTTCCACCTTCAGTGGCCCAGGCGAGGCTGACTCAGGGGGTGGGGTGGGCGCTGGGCTGGGGGCACACACCATCTCTGCCTTCTCGGTCATGGTGGGGCCCACCTCTGTCTGTGCCTGGGGTGGGCACATGGACCCCGAGGGGGTGTGCTCACCTGTGGGAGGGAAGGAAGCCAATGGGGAGGGAGGACCCAGCTACCACCCCCACATCTACTTATCAAGAGCTGTGAGCTGTGATGCCACAGGGCTTGAGGGCGGGGCTCATGAGCAAAGGCCAGGCAGGTGGGGGGTGGGCTCAGAAACTGTCCAACACACGGGCAGGAGGTGCCCGTGGATGGCCCCATAGGACCATCTCTAAGACATGTGAGGGCTGCCATCGTCCAGCCACTGAGCAAATTTCCCTTCTTCCAGGATCCCTCTAAACCTGTAGCCTGGGGGGACAATGCAGGGATATCCTGGCTGATCCTGAGGTCTCCCAAAGCCCCAAATGTACCCTCTGACCCTCTATTAACCTTGTAATCCCCCTAAGCTAACTTTGTAACCCTCAGATCTGACCCTGAGATCCATCATTGACTCACTGATGCCATGTGACCATGAAACCTCTCCCAGGTTAACCTCTGACCCTTCCCTGATGCCCATGTAGGTCCCACGACCCTCAGGTGCGTCTCTGAGGCTCCTCCTGTTGACCCTATCTCCATGTTTGAGCCCTCTATGATTGGTGCAGTGATCCCTTACCCCCTAAAAATGTCCCCTTACTAACTCAGTGACCTCACTGTTGACACTATGACCCCAGGACCTCCGAACACCGACCTCACTGCCCAGTGCAGTCATGTTGCATGCCCCCAACCCTCCCCATGGCATCCCCCAGATCAACACCCTCTTTTGCACCCTGTTTCACTCTTGCCACCAAGAGTATCTTTTGGGAATCCCCAAAAGATCTGGGTCCTCCTAGCCTGTTGGCCTGGTTCTCCTAGGCAGGGGTCCCAACTAGGCCCTGAGGAAGTCGTCTTGGCCTCTTACTTTATGGCCCCACCCCACGGATGAATGAATGAATGAATGAATGCAGGCAGATCCCAGATCCTTCAGACTGGGCTCCCCTCTTACCCCAGTGCTGGTCCTACCGCCTGGTGAGTGCCTGGGCTTGGTCCCCTTGGGGCCAGAATGTGGTTCCGGCTTCAGGCGTGACCTCTGTACATGCAGCAGCCGACAGTCGGCTGTCCCGGCTGGACTATCCTGTTGGGCCGGGCCTCCTCTAGGGTCCCGAGGGCCAGGCAGCCGTGAAGGCAGCAGCGTAGGCCCCCCAAGAGAAAGTGAGCACTCTGACGGCCCACCCTCTCCCCTGCCGGGCTTGCTTCCTTCCCTGCCCAGCACAGTGGCTGGAGGATGCTGGGCCGGCACAGATAAGGGCCTGGCCGCCTGGTCGCGCCTGATAAGGAGCCGTGCTGACCCCGGAGGAAACTGGCGGGCGGGGATCTCAGAACGCGGGCCTCTGGGCCCCGCCCCTGGCCGGCACAGACAGAACTGAGCCTGTCACCCCAGGGCCCCCCCCCCAGGCACTGGAGGGCACAGCGGAAAGGGGTTGGAGGGGAAGCGCCCAGAACCAAGCAGAGGGGAAACTGAGGCAAGGAACCTGTGGCCTGAGTCTCCTGGGTCTGACCTCCAGCTTTAAACACCCCCTACCCCAGTATTGAGTATTGGTGCTGCTAGGGATGGGGGAGGCCTCTTTCCGGCCCAGTGGAGCCCGCGTGATCGGGTCCCCTCCCCCTCCACTTGGTTCCTCTTTTTTACAGAGCCCCTCCCAAACTTTTTGTCGCTCCACCCCAGAAACAGGGCCTCAGAGAAGGGCCAGCTCTGTGATCTGGTCTCAGGTGTGTGGTGCTGGCAGGTGTCCTGGGCCTCCAGCACATTATCTTATCCTTGCCACCTTTTTAGGCCCAGGGAAGGGAGAGGAAGTGACATAGCTAGATGCCAGGTCTGGTGAGACCTTGTAGTAGACACCCCAATTCTGGACTTCTTGGCCCATATAACCCCCTAACAGCACCAGGACACTTCTATATGGGAATTGAAGAAGTCAAGAAAGAGGTGTTAGACAGATGTCCTGGAGTGGGACTGGAACTCAGATCCCCTTGGGACCTCATAAAGGGAGGGGCTCTAGTTACAACTAGGTAGCAGTGACAAGTCTGTCACTTATCTCCAGCTCCTCTTACCTGGGTCAGTCATATTTTACTGTGGGTATGTGGATGACTGCAGAGCCCCAGGCAGAACCTGGGCTGTTACCACCACCAACACCTAAAGATGTGAAGCCCAGGCCCCCATAACCAACCATCCCAGTTTCCCCAGGGAATTAACAGCTAATATTCTAAGCACGAGGTCATTTACAGAAAAGGGTGGTTACATAGCGAGGTGAAGGGCACAGGGTTCTAAAACTGGCATGTGGTGGAGTGGGATTCTGGCTCTGGCTTCTCTGTTAACGTTAGACACCCCTCCTCCCCTGCTCCAATGGACAGCAACTCAGCCTGGGCCTCACTGCGTGCCCCCTCGAGCCTCCAGGCAGGAAGCACCTGGTCCGGAACGGATGCGCAGGGCGCCTGGTTCCGGTCCGGCTTCCGCCATCGCGGCCCAGAGGGAGCTGGGCCAAAGAAACCAGGCGGCGAGGCAGCCGCGGCACGCCAGATCACGTGGAGGTTCCGTGGCGAACGCGGCCGCCCGCGCGCGTGTCCGAGGCCAGGAGAGCGCGACTGAGGGTAGAGGGGCCACAAGCCCGCGGGCTCCCGCACACGACTGCCCCCCCGTGGCCGCGTCAGGAACCGCATTCTCCAGCTCTGGGGCGATAAAAGTAACCCATGCTGGGGTCACACAGCCTCACAGACACAATACCTCCGATAGAAAAACTGCCAACACCCCGGAGTCACGCAGGAACAGACACCCTCTTGGACAGGCAAACCACAGAACTCTCCCAGGGAGTTAAAAGAGGACAGATGAAAAGACCCTGGACCTGCAGCTAGATAGATAGGCAAAGCCCCTCAGGCATAAGGACAGACAGACCACAGGTGGCCTCCCCACTCAGATGAATGACAGTCAGGAGAAGGTGACATCTCTTTATTGGTTCAGTTTATGCCTGGTCCAGTGGCGGCCCCAGGTCCGAGGTCTCTGGGCAGTCAGCGGGGGCACCATCAGTAGCAGGCCTGGATATCAGGGGGCTGTGGGAGTAGCAGCACTGGTCTCCGTGTTGACAGGTGCCCTGGTGGGAGGGTGGTGGGTGTGAACTTCAGCCCAGGACCGGGCAGGCTCCCCCAGGTTCCATTCCTGGATGGAGCGCTCACTCCTAGGTGCTGGCCCTGCCCCCCTTCTCCCAGCGTCATCTGCCACTTGGCCTTGCCCTGCGGCTGCCTGATCCCTGTGTCCTGCCCTGACTGGAAGGAGGGACACTCACCTCCTTGAACCTCTTGCAGGGAAATGTCTTGAGCCGGGCAGCCCGCTGGGCTGGGTCCTCAGCTGGCTCCTTGCGCTTATTCTGGAGCAGCCTGGCCCTCTTCTCCATGGCACTACCTGTCGCCTTGCCCCTGTGGAGGGAGATGGGCGCTGGGACGTGGCTGGCCTCTGTGGGCCCTACCCCAGCTGAGCCCCCACCAACACTTCACTCACCCTGGCCGGGCACGTGGCCGGGGGCCCCAGTTGGCCTCAGGATTGGCCTGGAAGCGCTTGAGTCCTCGCTGGCGGGAGCTGGGGTTGGCATCTTCCCGGATGGTGAAGTTGGCCTTCAGACTGGGAAGGGGGGACACCTTTAAATGTACAAGGCCAGCCCTGAGGCCTGCCCATGTCACTACAGCTTTCAAGTGCCTTGTGAAGACTGCATCTGCCCGTGTGTCCAAATTCTTTCGTTCACCGACTAATATTTATTGAGTGCCTACTGTGTACCTATCTTATTCCTGGTGTTGGGAACAGTGAACAAAAGGGAGAAGAACCATTGCTCCTTGTGAAGCTGACATTCTAGTGTAGGAGGCAGCAGAACAAATCAGAAATAAGCAGATGACCTGGAAGGAGCGAGTAGCTGGACCTGTGGGCTTGGGACCGTGGTCGCAGGGGACATCAAGCTCAACTGGCATAACACACTGTACAAGAGCACTGTTCTATATCCTACTTCGGTGAGTAGCAACTGGGGTCTTAAAAGCTTGCAAGTGGCCATCCAGATGCAATGATGGGTCTCCCCTTGTCCAGAGCAAAGAAAAATGACACATGGAAACAGTTAGTCCAAGGGACTGGTGGACCATGCGATCCTGATCCTCTGCCTATCTGACCATGAGACCCGGGGGACTAGATGGTACCCAACGACCCCTGTCAACCACTCAGAGGGGGACTGGTACAGAAGATCCTGGATAGAGTGGGAGAACAATTTGGAACAAAACTTAGAATCCTAAAAAAAAAAGACCAGGTTTGCTCGTCTGATAGAGCCTGCTGAGACCCCTGAGACTATGGCCCCTGGCTGCCCTTCAGGTCTGGAACTGAACTCACTCCTGTGGCTCCTAGCCAAACAACAGACAAGCACATGGTGTGAATATTTACATTAGGTAGATACACTAGGTGGAGAGACCAATCATGGGAGAACAGAAGGGCAGTGTTTGCCCAGGGAGACAGCTCGGGAGATGCGAGTGCATGGGAGGGAAGGACACAGGGAAGGGTTAACTACGGGGAAGAAATAGGAAGAGAGCTGTATTGTGGGGAATTGTAGTTAATGTCATGAGACAAAATGCATATGAACTGCTGTATGGAAAATGAATTTGCTCTGTAAACCCAAATTACAGTAACATTAAAAAAAAAAAAAAAAGTGGTAAGAAGCAAAGAAAAGAAAAGAAGCAAATGATATTGTGTCAGGGACCAAAACAGGTGTTTTGAGGAAATGGAGCAGGGTAAAGGGAATGGGGAGACTGGGAAGGGGTGCAGTATTGGATGTGAGGGCAGAGAAGTGCTCACTGAGGAGAGACCCATGCAGGGACCTGAAGGAGCTGAGGGAGGAGCATAGGGATCTGGGGAAGGTCATCCCAGGCAGAGGGCACAGCCCATGCAGGGGCCTTGATGTGGGACAGCACCTGGTGGGTTTGAGTGAGGAGGCTCACACAGCTGGAGCCTAGAGAGCTAGGGAGAGCACGGGAGGAGAAGGGAAGGGAGGGTTCAGGCAGACTGTGCAGGATCTGTGGGCCAGAGAGAGGACTTGGGCTTTTACTCCAAGTAAGAGGGGAGCCATGGAGTCTGAATGGTGCAGTAGCTAAGTGCTCAGCTGCTGACTGAACCCACCAGCTGCTCTGCAGGTGAAAGACGTGGCAGTCTGTTTCTGTAAAGATGGCTGTTGTTGTTAGGTGCCATCGAGTAGATTCTGGGTCATGGAAACCCTGTGTGCGACAGAACAGAACCCCGCCCGGTCCTGTGCCTTCCTCACAGTCCTTGCTGTGTTTGAGCCCATCGCTGCACCCGCTGTGTCGATCCATTTTGTTGAGGGTCTTCCCCTTTTGTCACTGACCCTCCACCTCACCAAGCATGACATCCTTCTCCAGGGAATGGTCCCTTCTGACAACATGACCGAAGTAGATGAGACCAAGTCTGGCCATTCTCGCTTCCAAGGAGCATTCCGGCTTCTCCCAGGACAGATTTGTTAGTTCTTCTGGCAGTCCATGGTACTTTCAGTATTCTGCGCCACAACAGGACAACTCAAAAGCATCAACTCTTCTTCGGTCTTCCTTATTCATTGTCTAGCTTTCACGTGCATATGAGGTGATCAAAAATACCATGGCGAGGGTCAGGTGTACCTTAGTCTTCAAAGTGGTATCTTTGCTCTTCAGCACTTTAAGGAGGTCTTTGCAGCAGATTTGCCCAGTGCAATACAATGTTTTATTTCTTGACTGCTGCTTTCATGGGTGTTGATTATGGATCCAAGTAAAATGAAATCTTTGACAGCTTCAGTCTTTTCTCCATTTATCATGATGTTGCTTATAGGTCTGGTTGTGAGGATTTTAGTTTTCAGTCTTGGAAACCCTGTGGGGCAGTTCTACTCTGTCCTATAGGGTCGCTATGAGTTAGAATTGACTCGACAGCAACAGGATTGGATTTTCTGGTTTTAAGGTGGGAGCCATAGAGGGTTCTGGGCAGAGGGATGTACTCTGACTCACCCTTTGGCTGCTGTGGGAGATAAGAGCAGGAGTCAAGGAAATGGGAGGAAGCCACTACGCTGGTCCAGGTAGGAGTGGAGGAGAGAGAAAGAGGGTGGGTTCTGGATCTCATTTAAGACAGAGCCTATGTCTGAGTAGGGCAGTGTCTGTACCTGTACATGTGTGTTTCCTAAACCCGTGGGCTCCCATGTCTGCCCCACGTGTGCGTCTATACCTGGGCTCCACACTGAGAATGCGGAACGCCGGGCTGGTCTCTGACAGCCGCTCCCGTTTCACTGGACATTCCTTCTCCTGGGCAGCATAGGTCATGGGTCAGGGGACACTGGGCCTCAGGCAGCCATCCCTGCCCCCTCCCCTCTAATCACATGGTCCTCACCCAGCAACGCATGATGTCCCAGAGAGCTGAGCTGGGGGCATCAGTCTTCACGGCGTTCTTACAGGCGTGGGAGAGGGAAACTCTGAAGCCAGCGTGGAGGAGTGCTGAGCTGGGGAGGGAAGGGCTGTGAGGGGGGCTGGGTCCAGAGCCCGGGCTAGCCTGTGGGGGTGTGGGCAGGGCTGCATGGTGCCCTAGGGCTACGTGGACCCCACACTACCAAGGACTGTGATAGCAAGACTCTCCTAGAGGCGGAAGTGAGGGCTCCACACTCTATGCCAAGCACTGTGCCTACGGTGGCTTGATCTCCGTGTGGTGGGGGGCCCTGAGGCTGGAGAGGGCCCACTGTGGCCAGGGGCACCTCACGGGGACCTCACCGCAGCTGCAGGAGACTAGGTGTGCTGCAGTGGATGGTGCTGCTCAGCTGGTCCAGTGTGTAGTAGAGGGGCACGTCCGCGAGCTCCTGCAGGGAGAGATGGCGATGAGGCGGATGTGCAGGGAACAGGCACAGGCAGAGACCCCCATCACAGACCGGTCCCCACCTCGGTGACAACACTCAGGACCCCACGAATCCGCTCAGAGGTGTGGAAGCGGCCAGGGTTGGCACTCACGGCCTCCAGGACACGGTGCACGAAGTCCAGGTCGTGGATGGGCTCTGCCCACATGGGGCCACCAAGCTGTGCACGTACGGGGGTCAGATGGGCAGGGCCACGCCCGTGGGTCCCTGTGCCCACCTCTGCCTCCCTGGCCCAGCCCCACCTGGTGTCTCTGCCCACAGTGCTCACATTCAGGTGCCACAGGAGGACCGCAGGCTGCAGAGAATTTGACCCTGCAGGAAGAGGGGCAGGTAGGGGTGGGAACCAGGAAGCTCCCTCCAGCTTCCTTCCCAGGCAACCCTTGCTCACCGGCTCCCAGGAGCTCCGGATGCTCTGCCAAGGCGCTGAAGGTGGAAGGCCCCACAGCCCACGCACTGGAACACCAGGGCCTGCTTGCTGTGAAGGAACGTGGCCCTGAGTTCCAGGCCAGCATGGTACCACACCCCCAACTCCTCCCCTAAGGCTGGCTCAGTCCCCAACAGACTCTCCGAGGCAGGACCATGCCCTTCCTAGTCCCCAGGGCAGGAGCATGTCTTTCCAAAGGGCAGGACCATGCTTCCCCCCAGGGCAGGACTGTGTTCCCCCATTTTCCCAGGATAGGACTGTGTCTCCCCATCCCCCTGCTCCCTCAAGTAGCGCTGTCTCTTCCCTCAATCCATCCTACCCCATGCCCCACCCCAGGCCCACCTGGCTGAGGCCTTGACCTTGGCCTGGCCGGTGAAGACACGGACAAACACTCGCACGTAGAAGTCTGCACTGATGCTGAGTAGCGGCACCACGAAGCGCTGGTAGCAGTTGGCCCGAAGGTCAAGGCTGTGCAGGACGATCCTCAGGGCCTGGGGGTCAAGGGATGAGTGTTAGCACCTTGCCTCTCCTCCTTCCCCTCCTGAGGACCAGCTCACAGCGCAGGCTGGGGCGGCTCTCGGGTTTCAGTCCCAGCCTTGCCATGTCCTGGCCGTGTGTCACTCAGCAAGGGAGCTCCTCCTCTCTGTGCCTCAGTGACTTGATCTGCTGGGCACTAAGTGAGCAAGGGAGGACACTGGGCCTGAGACAGAGGCTTCTTTTTTTAAAAAATGTTACTATGCTTTGCGTGCAGATTGGGACAGAGGCTTCTGATGGGTTTTGGCACCAGGGCCCTGTGCTGTGGGCTGAGTCCCAGCCACCGTGGGCTCTGTGGGTATGAAGTGTGGGGACACTGGGTGCTACAGAATTGCCTAGGCTGCTGTGATAATTTAAGGAAATGAAGGTATTCCCCAGAGTGACCTGATGACAGGGCCTTTAAGGAACAAGAACAAGACCACCTCCTTTCTGGGCCATCCACACAGCCAGCCTGTCTTAAATACTCAAAGCAACCCCATGGGACTGGCACCATCATCACACCTATTTTACAGACACCAAAACTGTCACCTGTTGCCTCATGACACCAGCAAAGCTAGGCTTCAAACCCAGATCTGGAAAAATTGCCTTACAAAAGACAATTCTAAAAAGCTTTTAAAATCCAGACTAGAAAGACTAAGTGAAAAAGACCAAGATTAAGACTAAGCTCAATGAGATGGACTGACACAGTGGCTGCAACAATGAGCTCAAGCCCAGCGGGGACCGTGAGGATGGTGTACTGCTGGGCAGTGTTGCTCTGTTAGACACACGGTTGCTAGCAGTCAGAGCTGACTCAATGGCACCTAACAACAACACGACAGAAAGACTACGTAACCACCCACTCTGCCCTGGGCCAAAGCCAGCGCCCCACAATGACCGAGACTGGCCAGTGCTCTGAGCACCTCTTCCATGAGCACGGACCTGACTGGTTGCCTAGGGATGTGGGGGTAGCCCAGGGAGGCGGGCTTACCATCTCGTGGCAGGCCCGGCTCTTGAGGGCCATGGCCCCATACTTGCTGTAGCACGTCTCCCCACTGTTCCCCGCTAGCACCGCCATATCTGTGCAGGTGACGCACAGCAACCCTGCAGGGAGGGGCAGATAATAAGGACCCTCCAAACACCCCAGCCCTGCTCCTTGTGGCACCAGCCCGGGTCTCACCTCCTTCATTCACGGCCTGTACTGCTGCATCCAGGAAGGGGGCAGGGCTGCCATAGGGGTCTAGGTCGATGACATCGAAGCGTTCCGACGTCCTCTGGTGCTGGTACATCAGTATTCTGGGTGTGAGAGGGCCAGGCCTTCAGTACAGAGCCTCAGACCCCTGCCCTGTGTGTGTCAACTCAGCTCAGTGATTTTGGCCTAGACTTGGGGCCAGCTGCCTGGGTTCAGATCCTGGCTTGGCCATCTATAACTGCATGATTTTCCTTCCTTGGGCCTTGGACTACCCATCTATAACAACAGTAATAACAGTTAACAAGCTAACATTGATATAGCACAAGATGTGCCTGATACTGTCTGAAGCAGTTAATAGATGTATTAACTCAGTCATTCAATTTTCCAGACTCCTCCATGGCTTGGGAATTACTGTGGTTCCCTTGGCTACTTTCTCAGTGGGGCCTATCCTGACCACGCTGTTTAAAATTACAACCCCCTTTCATCCTCCTTCCCCTCTTGTTTTTTCTATAGTACTTTCCACTCCTAGTCTATGATAGCATTTACTTATTTTTTTTTTTGTCACATTTGTTGTTATCATCTATGTTTCCAATTAGATTCTATTGCAGTGAGGATGCTTGTTCTATAAAGCATTAGATAACAAATATTTCAGGATTTGTAGACTTCATATAAGGAGCTCTGGTGGTGCGGTGCCTAAGGTATTTGACTGCTAACCAGAAGGTTGGTGGTTCAAACCCACCAGCCACTCCATGGAAGGAAGATGGGGCAATCTACTTCCACAAAGACTTACTACCTCGGATAGCCAAAGGGTTGATGGCAGTGGGTTTTTGGGTTAAGGCCACATATGGTCTCTATTGCATACTCTTTTTTTTTTAAACCCCTTCAAAACGTAAAAAGCATTCTTAGCTCACAGGCTGTATAAAACCAGGCTGTAGGCCCACAGGCTACAGTTTGCCAACCCCTGCCTAAGATCACAAACTATACCAGGCCAGGGATATTGTTTTGTTTACTGATACGTTCTAGCACTGAGAATGGTGCCTGCCACATACTGGGCACTCGACAAACCCCAGCTGCATTTGAATAATAAAAGAATTACAAAGAGTTAAGTCTAAGATGGAGAGGAGAATTGTACTTATCTCTGGCACAAAGTTGGGTCTATAGAAGCCTCTTCTATCATTTAATCATCACAACCGCCCCTGTCAAACAATTACCCTCATTTGACAGCTTAGGTAACTGAGGCTCAGAAAAGCTACATCACTTCCTCAATGTCACACAGCAAGAATATGACCAGGCAGCCTGGCTCCAGAGTCCATCTCTCGGACGCTAAGCTCTGCTGCCCCATACCTACCGGGCATCTGCCTGGCTGGGCTGTACCAAGTGGGCCACATGGTTGAGCTGCACGTTGCGGCGTATTAGGTCTACAGCACGGGCGGAGGCATCATTGGCAACCACAGATCGAAGTCCAGGCACCTCTTGGGCAAAGCGGATGGAACGCAGCCCCGAGGCTGCTAGGCCCTCCAGCACACGCAGGCCCTCCTGTTGGGGTAAGTGGGGAACCACTGCTCACATCTTTACCTCTATCTTCTGCTGAGCCCCTAGGAGCCTCCCACCAACCACCTCCTTTAGCTGTCCCATTTCAGGAGCCTTCTTTCTTGCATCACCCACTGGGTTCCAAGGTTCCCATCTCCTATGCTCAGGCCGCACCTCACATATCTCCCTCACGGCCGCTGTTCGAGGTTGGTCTCCTGGGGCCAGGTTTTCGCCCTCTTTCAATTCAGCCTTGTCCTCCTCTTGCTCTGATAAATCCACGACCACCTTTTGTACATCCTTCTCACCTGGCACCTTGACTGCAAGCCACCCAGAGGCATGAATCAGATGATATCAAAGTCCCCTCTGAGAAATCTCCCCTTGCTCTTCAGAAGACGGAAGACTCATAGAGGGAAATCTTCCCCATTCCCTGGGGAAAAGCTGATGGAGCAGAGCCCAAAGGCTGCTATGTGTCTGGAGCATTGTGGGGTTGGGAGATGGGGTGGTCAGGCAGGGATACCTTTGTGTGACCCCCGCCCACCAGGAACTTGGATTCTGACTCACTCTGGATTCCTTTAGTCTGAAGCTGAACACGGGCAAACTCGGTGATCACCGCACATCTGACAGGAGACAGAAGGTCAGTTTACACCCCCTCCACCTCACTGACCCACTGCCTCCTGACCCCTGACCCCTGCTCACGTCAGGTCCCGGTTGAATTCTTGCACCGGGTTGTAGAAGACTTCGTTGGCACTGGGGAAGGCGATCTTGGCGGCCCCTTCGGTGATTGTTGTCTCCTGGGCCTCAGGTGGGCGCTTTTCTTCACAGGTCCCGGTACCATTCTCCATCGCAGCACGATTCGGCGGCTCTTGAAGCTGCCCCTCCATAAACCAAGCTCTATAGAGACTGCGGGAGGAGCGAAGGGTGAGGCTTAGCCGCAGGATCCTCGCGCGGGACATCTGCGGGCGCCTCTGGGGGAGCAGAAGAGTACGGCATTGACAGAGCATCAGAGGGGACCTACGTTCTGGGGCCAGGGGGTGGCCTACACACCTTAAGGTGGAGTCTAAGAAGACCCTGTGGCCTTGGGATGCTGACACCTACCCCCTCTTTCGGGGACCAGCCGGAAGCCCTCGGAGTGGACCCGTTCCTGGTCTGGATACTTCCCTGTGCCGCGTAGGCCCTCGTCACTTTTTCTCGGAAAACCGAGAAGGAAATCGGTGTGTGTGCACGTTTCCTGGATTAAGACTTGGGCGCCGCCATGTTGGCACAGTAAGAGGTTTGATCACGTGACCCTGGTCAGCCAATCAGTAATGGTAATGGACGGTAGGCGGCCGGGATCAAAATGTATGGAGGGACTGGAGCACGCTGAACGTGGTGTGCAGGTGGACTTAATCACAGCGGATCCCCTTCTTACTACCTGTCGAACGCTGCATACACATTGTTTCAGAGCCCCCTCCATTGTACTAGGAATAACTCAGGTTCTGGAAACAGACTTACTGCAATTCCAGTCCTGCCACATGCTCTGGGCAAGTTACATTTTCTGGGCCTGTCTTTATCGGAGGGATCATAACTTCCCAGATACGGCAAAGATTAAACGACAGAATGCTTGGGAAGTATGTAGTGCAGCTTCTTTCACAAAGTAAGCGTTCAGGAGGTGCTAACTGGAGTGTGAACGCCGGAAGACAGTGGCCGGCTGCATGGGTTCCAGTCCCAGCTCCACTATTTGTAATTCACTTTCTCTATGCTTCAGTTTCTCCATTTGCAAAACGGGCAGAACTTTTTACTTTCGTCATTGAGATGTAGTGAGAAATAAACGAGTTTTTAAAAACTCACTGCCATTGAGTTGATCCCAACTCATAGCGACCCTACAGGACAGAAGTAGAACTGACCATAAGGTTTCCAAGGCTGTATACGGAAACAGAGGAAGCTCTAGTAGCATAGTGCCTAAGGCATTTGACTGCTAACCAGAAGGTTGGCGGTTCAAACCCACCAGCCACTCCTCGGGAGGAAGGCTGGGCAATCTACTTCCGCAGTGATACTGCCTCGGAAACCCAAAGAGGGGTCGGTATGAGTCGGGGCCGACTGGACGGCATATAACAACAACATACGGAAACAGACTGTCTCATCTCTTTCCCGTGGAGCGACTGGTGAGTTTCAACCGCGTACGTACTTCTGTAGTCAGCAGGCAAATGGCTTAACCACTGCACCACTAACGGAACCTGTTGTTTGTTGTTGTTATGTGCCGTGGAGTCAGACCTGACTCATAGCAAGCCCTCCTTGGGTTTCCGAGGCAGTATCACTACCTACGGAAGTAGATTGCCCCATCTTCCTTCTGAGGAGTGGCTGGTGAGTTTGAACAGCCAGCCTTCTGGTTAGCAGTTCACGTGTCTTAGGCACTACACTACCAGAGCTCCCAACGGAACCTAGTATCGCGTAAACATTAGGAACGTTAGCTTTTATTGCCACTTCTTGAGCTTAGGCTTGAAGCCAAGTACTCAGCACTACTTTCTTGCTGTATAATCTTGAACAGATTACTTTCTCTTTTAGAAAGAGGTATGGTGTGTGTGTGTGTGTGTGTGTGTGTGTGTGCGCGCGCGCGCGATAATTCCCATCTAAAAATGTTTCCGTGAAGATTAAGCAAAGTAGTTCCCATATAAAGAGCCTAAAACAGTGCCTGGCTCAACAAATACCAGCCATTGTTGCTTTTGTTTTACAGGAAACTGAAGTTCACAGAGACAAAGCGCCCAAGGTCGCGGGGGCTAGAATTGGCAGGGCCAGGATTCGAACTCAGGAGTATTAGAGGCGACCGGAAACTGTAGAGGGAGGAGCCCGAGCCCGGAGGAAGGTGCGCGCTCGACGCTCGGCTGGCCGTGCCTGGGAGGCGGGACTTGGGGGAAGTGTGCAGGCGGGGCCGTGGCCGCTCCTCCCCAGCCGGGCTGCGGCGGCGGCGCGGCCTGCGCTCGCTCGGCGCTCGGCTGGGGCGGCCTGGCCC